GTTTCCATTGCAGTTTTGTGAAAAACATCAATTTCGATACGGCCGAAAAACCACCTCATCGTAGCGCAAAAACATTTTGTCGAAAAACGTATTTTTCTTTCAAAATTGATGTGTTTCCATTGAGCAAATTTATTTTTGAAATTCTAATTTGCGCATTTTCATGGTCAATGGAAATGCAGCTAGTGATGGAAATTAAAGTTCTATTCTATTCTACTCTATTCTTTTGCTAATTTTAGCAACTGTTTTTTTATTTCACCTGTTTTTCTTATTTTAATTTGGACATTTGTTTAGATAATAATAGCTAATAAAAGCTTTACTATCTGTTTTGTCAAAAAAAGAAAGAGAATAAGTTACGTCATTAACTCAACACAAATGTCACTTGATCTGTGAAATTTACAAACACGTCACAGATGTGCTGGGACGTCTCTCAGCTAAGCTGTGGTGCCATCTTGAACTGGTTTGACTCTAAAACATAATGAGCTGCTGGTGTACAGTCAGTGGATCAGGTAGATGGATATAGAGGTGTCTATTCAGGGGGATATCAGTAAACCTTTAAATCCTGACCTGGCCCCCCACCTCACCCCTCTAGCTGTGCCCCTGCTAATACTCTCTGCATCCTCCCTGCAGATCCTTTGATTAGACTTTTTATATTCACCCACCTTTAGTTTTGAAAGCAAAGTTGCACACCCTGCAGATGTACGGTCGCACATCTGTGTGGGTTCGGATGTGTTTTTTCAGCATGCTTGGTTTCTTGCAGCGGATTCCACACTCCTCACAAATGTATTTGCCCCGGCCTCGGCCCCGGACGTACACGTAGTCTTCATTGGACTTGTACCTAGAAAAAGTCAAATATGACATTAACATTTGTAGTTTTTCAGTGATTACAAAGAGATAAACTGTGCTTGACTGACCCTCCCTCAAAGATTTTAACCCTTGTTGGCACTGTTTGGTTGGTGGAGGCCTCCCTTTCTTTCCACTCCTCCTTTGCAGTTTTGGCTCTGCAGCTGATGTCTTTCACCTTCTTCCCGTAGGCCACGTCCACCTCCTTGGGCTCCGATTTCCTCTGCAGCTGAATCAAATGAACACGCGCTGTGTTAACACCCATTTTAAGTGGACACCGTATCGACAGTGTAAGCTGATGCATCCAATATTATGTCACACGTGGTTTTACACAGCACAGTTAGAAAACATGAATAATGCTGCTGCTGCAGGACACAAAGAGCTGTGTAGCAGAACACAGATCTTTTTATGCATACTTGGACTTAAAAATACATCTGTAAAAAATATTCAGATCTATTTTTACCCTGTTTTACATGATGCAAAGCAAATGCTGAATCAAAGGTAATCAGCAGGAAGGAAAACGGTCTTTTCAGAACTGTCTGCTTATTGATTGAAGGGTGCAGTTTGTCAATTTGAAAGGTTTAAGGCTGCAAAATGTTCAGCCATCAAAATGAAAAACTTGGCAGCACAAGTAAAGGTTCTTTGAAGGAATGCATATCGCCCACCACTTAATTCAGAGGTTTCAGACTGAGATGCTGAAAATGAAAGGAGTCGGATCTATTTTGGTTCAGTTTTTAAAACCATGTGTAGTCTCATGCAGTCAGTTGTAGTTGAGTTTCATTCAGATCTCATGAGTTGTTTCTGAGATATTTTGTTATCAAACAGGGTGGACTCAACAGTTAATGCTGAAGTTTTAAGCAAAGTATGTGTTGTATGAAAATGAAGTGTATATAAATGCTCATACTTATATTTTACATCCTTTATATATAAGTATATACAAACAGTCTGCAGCTGTGTTAATTGACATTTTCCTTTGAGCTTAAAAAATGTTATTGATTTTATTTTTACCTTTATTATTACCAAAATTGTGGACAAAATAAAATAAGTAATGGTCTTTTTTGTCAAAATGTCCTCTAATTTCATCTGTGGGGGTCTGTGGGGGTGGGTGCACGCGTCCTAAAGTTAATTGGAGAGTTTACTTTTGTTTATTTGGCGGCTGGCCTGGCGCTGGCTGCAAGGTAAACCTAACTAAAACTGAAACAAATGAAACTACCGTATTTTTTCATGTATAAGATCTCATGTATAATACGATCTCACGTATAATACAATCTCATGTATAATACGACCTCATGTATAATA